TGTCCCTTTATAATTGTATATGAGCATATGTATATGTGCATTTTATATTTTGTATATTTTTTTCTTACAATATCTTGGTTTTTCAAAACTTGTTTGTTATTTAGTTTTTTTTTGAATCAGTGCTTCTCAAAATATGTTGAAGTGTCACGTGGAGTAGCGGCGACTGTGAATTTTGTTAAACATTCAGTCTGCTACGTATTTTATTTCTTGGGTTTGATGAAAGAAGATTTTTTGTTAGCCCGATTAATTATTTCAAAATTTTTACATACTCATATTATTTTGTTATTAGCTGACTAAACGAGTGATTAGCCTGCCATCTATATAATTTGGTAGGAATAATTTTCATTGTGATTGAACATCTTCCCGCAAGATATCATTGTGAATCTGCATAATACTAAACTATTATGACGGTAATTTTTAAATTTTTGTTACAATTTAATTAATAAACATGTGATATTTGTGTTTGTGTTTGTGTAAATTGCAAATACAGTGTAATTAATTATTTTTTATTAATATTTTTATTATAATTTCTTATAAATATTAATCTAATACCTATATATTTTTTAGCATTGGATATTAAGTAAACTATTAAAATATTGGATATATTTTGGCAACGAGACGCTTCGATCGGAAGTTGATTCTAAAATAAAATAAAAATTTTGGAAGTCACTGCTTGAAATAATGAAAATACAAAAGAAAAAACGAAACGAAGACAATAATATTATACGAGTACTACTTATTTAATAATATTATGCGAATGTATTCATGAAGAAAACCAGTTCAAATCAAGTTTAAAACAAAAAAGAAATAAAAATTTTTTAATTTTATAACCGAACTTTTAAAATCTTTAGTTAAGATTTAAGAGAATTAACCATGTAGTTATAATATTTTGTATTTAGTTATCATATGATTAAGTAGGAAACTATGTTTACTATTGTTGTTTGATTATGTATGAATATGCAAATATTTATGTAGATTTTTTTGAATTTTTATTAGGCGATGATTATTATTGTTTCATAGAAAATAAAAAAAAAAATAATAATAAAAATACGTTCTGAGTCAATAGTTTTGTAGGTCAATTAAAGTTACTTTTCAAAATTTTTAACTTTATAGTATTCTTTTTGGTTTACAATGTAAAGAAAAACAAACGAAATCGGAAAAAAAGAGAAACTTAATTTTCCTGATTTTAAATTATTAAACACATCTTAATAATTAAAGTAAATAAAGCAGTTAATTTTTTTTTTGATAAATTAATTTTAATGTTATTTCAATTTTAATAAGAATAAAAACCTTTAAATTTATTTTACAAGCATACAGAAATTTTAAATTCATTGTCGATTTTTAAATTTTTTTGTTTTCAATTATTTCTTTACTTAATATGTACTTAGTATGACTAAATATATGTATGTATGTATGTAAAACGTAGACATGACTTCTATAATTTCTTGCAACAACCCTATATTCCTTCTAGAGGTAAAAATTAAGAAAAAAATGTAGCAGTTGCAAATTATGTAAAATTAACAATCATGTGTTATAGTCATTACTTTAAACATAATTTCTTTAATAAGGATAGTTGTTAGTGTGAAATTTAATTAATTTTCCTTAAGAATGCTCTCCACTTACGTACGTTTCACAGAGAGTAATTTGACAGTTCTTATTTTTATAGTGGCATAATAGTAAAACTTTTTAGGATGACCGTGTGGAATAAATTAATATGTACATACATATATCATGATCTGTGTATCTGCCAACCATTATATTTACATTATTTTGTTCCTGATTTCACTATTTATGGCGACATTTATGTATGTTTGTAAAAATATCAATAATTTACTCAACATTAATTAATCAGTTTAATGAACTCCAAAGTGCATTAATATTACTATTAAATGATTGTGTTCTTATAGAAGTGAATAGGCATATTTATATTAAATAAAAATATGTAGCTACTTAGTAAGTTATTAATTATCATCATTAATATTTTTTATGAACACACAATTTGTAATGTGTATATATAAATAATTAATTAAATATGTATGTAAAAAATAAATAAATAAATTGTTATGATTAAAATTTTTGGCTAGAATTTCTCAAATTTATTTTACAATATTTAAGGAATAATAACAAAAATAAAAAAAATAATGTAAAACTGATTTTTTTATTTACACACTGATATATTTGTCGTATTTATGTACATGTGTAGAATGTAGATATACGTATGTTTATATGTATATGATAATATAACGCACACTAACCGCGCTAGCTTACTTACAAATTTACAAAAATTTTCATATGAATATTTATATTACATACTTACATTTTTGTGACCATAAAATAATTTTTTTAAATAAAAAAAAAAAATTTTGTAAAAATATAAAAATAAAGGGCAGCCAAAAAAAAATAAGTCTATAAGTATGTAAATATGTAATATTTTTAATATTATCAGTAAACGGAGAGAAAAAAAAATGTGAATGAACTCTTACAAAAATATTATACATATGTATATATGTATACAGATATGTATATTTATGGTGCTCTATGAATATTTTTGCTGTTTGCTATTATTGCTGCCGCCACAACGGCCGCCACCATGAATTTTTATGTGACATGACAGAGGACAGAAGCAAAAAAAAATTAAAAAAAGAAATCCAAAATAAGTAGGTATTTTTTTTTTTTTTCATTTTTCTTGTGCGTTTATTTTGGTTTCTTTCTTCTTTTTTTTTATATTTTTTTTTTTGTGTATGTGTTATATTTTATTTATTAGATTTGATATTACTATTATATCTACTACAAGCCAGACTTGTAAGCAAATACATATATAGATACATTTATGTCTGCAATTATCTCTTGCCAAATATATTTTTTTTGGTATAGATACTTACATGTATATAAGTGAATGCTAAGAATGTATACCATATTTAATTAAATAAATTGTAAAAAAGTAAATATGTACATACATACATATATAACATGTTTGTGACATAATATGAACTTTTAGTTGAACTCCATTTGAATAATAATAAGGACATTTTGACTAAGGGAAGAGAAGGAGACCTTTTATTGTAATGTAAATTTTAGCATTATTTTAAGAAATTTTTCTTTTTATTTCATTCTAAGAACTTAAAAATAGAAAATAATCTTACTATGAATTGAATAAAGAAAATTACTTTTATCTATAAAATATTTATTAAATTGTCAAAAATAATTGAAATATTTTTCAAACATTTTCAAAAAAAATTTTGATTACAAAAATCTTGAATACATTGTATTTGAAAAATTCTTTAAATTTTGTCTACGAATTTAGATTTTTTTACCAAACAAAGTCTAATAACAAAATTTTTTAAAAATCAAAACATTTTGATTTATTTTGACGTGGTGGCTACAAGAAAAGCAATAAAAAATTGAATACTTCTTTCCATTTAAGAAAGCGAGGAGCCTTACAATGATAAGTCTTATAAAATTCACCTATATTTTGATAAAGTTATATTATATTAATGGTAGAAAATAACAACAGCAACCTGTCATCCAACTGAGTGATATTGACGTGCCAACAAAACAAGAATAACAGAGAAAAGAATTTGTTTTAAAGAAAAAAATGAATCGACACACAGAATTTTTGAAAGTCAATGAAATTATTTGCAATATTACGTACCTACTAGCGGCACATTTTCAAAGAAATCAAAGACTATCTTAATTGCTATTTAATAATTTCTTTTAAAATGGTTCAAAACAAAAAATTAAAATTTCCATTACTTTTCCCGTATTAAAATGTTTACAAATTTCATTTAATACGTAAGTATAATAAATTTTAGTAATTTAAAGCAATTTCATTTAAATTCCATAGGGTCTTTCATTTAGATTCATAATGTTTTACATTGATGTACATCAATAAGTAATAACACAAGTAATACGCAAAAGTAATTAAAATTCCCAAATTACAAGAAAAAGAAAACAAAAATACAATAAATAAAGTAATCATTAAATATTAAAGTATGTTGAAATTAAACGGGGTGTAACTATCCGTAATAAGTAATTATCTAAAATAAAAAGAAAAAAATACTTAATTACACATTGGAAATTAAAAAAAAAAAAAAAAAAAAAACTGAAATAAAAAACAAAACCAAAGTTAATTTCACTACAATTTTTTTTTTTTGATATTTTGCATAATTACTGTAAGCATGTAGGTATATACATTTTAGCCCATGTACATATGTACAAATTGTACGTAATATTGTAAAATCATGGAGTTTATGTGATAAAAACAAACCCCCGCCCGATACATATGTAGGTACACAGCATGGTTTATACGCAGACGATTGTTTTTTGTAGGTACCCATATTAATAATACATGAATATTATACATATATTGTTGTAACAGTGGAGCACGTTTATTTACAACAAGTATACAAGCAAATGCCTCGCATATGTAGTGCATAAATTGCTATTTGTAACTTATAACTACACTTCGCTTAATAAGACAAAAGATTTAAAAGCAAAAAAATTTTGACAATTTTGTTAGCATTCAAAAGTTTGTGCTTATAAACACGAAAATTTTTGACAACATTATTGTTAAAAAAAAATTTGGTGAGCCGACTGGTGCGAAATATAGTAATTAGTTATTCATATCTAATAAACTTAATAACACATCCATAATTATGTTCTCATCGTCAGTCATATTACATATAAGTTGCCATAAAAATTTAATTCAGGAACATAAGAACGAAATATTCTGCCAGAAAGAGTATGCATATGCATGTACATATATTTGTGCTCGACTGTATATATGCAGATACACAATATTCAACTACAAATAATTATAAACATTTCATTAACTAAAATTTTTAATTTTTAAGGAATTAAAAGTTTAATGAAAATAAAATAAAAATTGTAACTACTTATATTAAAATATATAAGTAGGATGCATGTATAATGTAAATATTATTATAATTTTATATTTGTATATATAAATTTATGTATGTACATAAAATATAGGGCCTTACCTTATTTCTATTTTTTCAATTTTTTTTTCGTAAGTCCGTTTTTTTTTTATTTGTTGTTCTTCTTCTTTTTTCGTCTGCTTATAATGTCAGCAAATATTCAGTTTAATCCTCTTGGGTTTACTATTTATACTCTCCTTTTATTATTGTTATTATTATTATTTATACATATGGATGTATATATGCAATTATAGTTAAATATTATAACAAGTATATTATGTATATGTTAGAATATTATCATTAAGTATGTAGCTTATATATTCAAAATATTTATATATATACATATATATATATGCATATCTATATTATTTTAAAATATATTTCCATATGGTTTATATTAACACTTATGCTTATGTATCCGATGTAATCTAGTTATGTATGATTTTAAATAATGTTAATATTTATGTATATGTATACTGATATATATATATATATATTTTTCACTTATAATTTGAAAGTTTTTAATTATTATTATTTTTTTTTTTATTTTTCGTTTTAATTTTTTCGTATATAATATATAAGTATGTATGTATATAATTTAATTCAGAGAAAATTTAGTTCAGGAAATTGATAAAATAACTAGTAAGGATTAAAGTAAAGTAAAGTAAGAATATAAGTAAATAATCCAATTTTGAATTTTAAATTTAAAATTGTTAAAATATAATTTACACTTGTATATATATATATGTATATATATATATATATACAACGTATATGTATTTAAGAATGAATATATTGGGTGGAATATTTGTAGGTACAACACTGTATCTCTAGGTATTAGGTGTATTTAAAATATGATTTCTTAATAATGAATAAGGGATACTCTTATTTGGCATTGTGTTTATTAACATTATTTTAATTTAAATAAAATATTATTTTATTTTAATTTAAATAAGAGCAATAAGAGCTCTATCATATCATTCATTCTTAATATCTACATATTTAAATACTTATGGCTTCAATTAAAAATTTCCATAGATTTTTAAGCAAATATTTGAAACATGTTTTACGAATTTCCTTTTAAATTTTTTACTCAAAAACCAAACTAAATTATCTAAAGACAAATTTAATTATTTACAAATTTAATTAATTGAAAGTAAATGACATTACAATTTAATAAATCATTTCTAAAGTAAGAATAATAGCTACCTAAGTATGTGACAAGGCTCATGGGAAGGAAAATCCTCTATCCATTAAGCGTAATTAACAAATAAGTATTTAAAAAAATTTTAGCAATTAATAGAAAAATCCTATAAAATTTTTAAAAGTTTTAACTATAATATTTTCTTGCTTTAGCTTACAATCTGCATAATATTTGCAATAAATAACACAATTTTTAAAATATGAGGTAGACGGTTAAACACAATAAGCATATTCCCTCGATATATTAAAAATTATCATTCTATATTTTTGAGCTAATGGGTAGAATTTATTAATTATCAAAATTGAAAAGACTATAGGTACCAAAAAAAATTGTTTTTCGATAACAATATTTATATTGTTGCAGATAAATATGTTTCCAATAAGAATATTGAACAATAAGTAGTTGGCTTACCTATATACACATGTAATACATTTATTAGTACGACACATGCATACCACTTAAAATTCTTATAGGTATGTATGTGTTGGTTACCTTCATTTCACCAAAATTATGAAAAATCTTTTTTCGTTTAATTTTGATAGCAAATTACATGATGGTAACTGACTTAACTTACTTATATTAATTATAATGAATTATTATATTTAATTAGGTAGGTAGGAACTTACATTAGATAAGATTACTTTCCTGTTAGTGCTTACATAATTTATTTAGTAAGCCTTAATAATTATACATATGTACATATACCTATATAAAATTTTTAATTTTATTTGAATACATTTATGATAATAAAAGTGAATGGTAGGTAACAATTTTTTTTCAAATTTATGTAAAAAGATTTAGGTGATAGGGAGGCGACAGGTAGGTACCCCAATTATGGAAATATTTAAATAATTATGCATAAATGTGAAAGTCAGTTTGTATGTATTCAAATTTGGGTATTTTTATTATTAATATTGTTTTTATTTAAAACATAACTAAGTAGGTACATTTGGATTTCAATTTAAATTTAGTATACAAGTAGGCCTACCTATCAAAATCTTTTTATTAAAAACTCAGCAATTTTTGTTAAATTTGGGCTACTTAAAAAAGAATAACAAAGTAAAGATTATAAAAAAAAATTCTCTAGGTATCTATACATATTTACTTTTTCAGTATACACACACGATTATTTTCTCTGTTACATACATACATACCTATTTATTTTTCACTTTAATTTATTTTTATTACAAAGTATACATTCATTATGTACTCATTTATTAAAAATACAATGCTTAATTTACCAGAAAATTACCAATATTACCCACTAATAAAAATTATTATTTTTTTTCTTTTTCTATTTATTATTATTTTAATTTTAATATTTTAGCACAATTTTTCTTTTTAAAATTATTTTGAGCATTACTTTTTTTTTTCCAATTTAGAAATTATTTTTTCTCTCAATAACAGAATTTGTATCTTAATATTTTATCACATCTAATATTATTCTTTAACTTAAATTGTATAATTTTCAATTTAGATTTTAATTAAAAAACAAAATTATAATTCTTATTATGCAGAAATTTAAACTAAATAAAAATTGATTTATAAAACTGTTTTTAACAAAAAAAAAAAAGAATTTTCTTTAAATTTAATGGGATGCTGGCTGGCGCTTATAATACAATATTTTTTTCTGTTCACCACTCTGTTCTGTTATCATATTGTTCTGGCTGCTGCTATCTATACTGTTGTAAATGTAGCATACTTCAACAGCAAAGAAAAAAAATTTAAACAGAAATTTTAACAATTGATAATAAATACGAATCATATACAAGAGACACAAATCCAAAGTCTGTCTGTGTCTTACATATGTATACATAAAATGCAAATGCAAAACAATAACAACAATAAAAAAAAAAGAAACAGAAATGAAATGAGAAATAGAACAACACAACAAAAAACAATATGATAGCAGAAAAATAGAAAACAGAAGCAGCAGAAATATTAGCAGCCAAAATAATCAACCAGCCAGCATAAAATTAAAAGAATATTGTAAGTGTGCATGTGTATGTGAACATAAACTGTGGAAAAATCAATGGCCAGCTAACAAAAGAATATTTTTTTTTCTTCTACTTCTTTTTCTTTTTTTTTTACAGATATTTTCTCTTTCACTTAAAAAATTATTTTTACTTTATGAGAAATTTACACAAATATTCCAAATTCAATGAATTATATTATTCAATTTTATATTATAAATTAATTATTTAATATTTATAAAATCTTATTTTTTAGTTTTTTCATTTTTTTTATCACCAAATCCGCCACAAGAACTACTTTTCTTGTCCTTTCCTTATTTTCATTAAACCGACAGCCACACACAAGTTGAAAAAAAAAAAACCATGAACAACCGAAACAAACCGTTCAATCTTTTCCGTTTGACTCAACTGAACGCAATGGAAATTAAATTTCACAGAGCACAATTTGTTTCATTCTAAAAAAAAAAAAGAAAAATAGAAAATCGAATTAGACATGTTGTAGAAACAAAATAAAAATGAAACATTTATAACATAAAAAAATTAAAGTAAGTTTACACTTTACAATTATTAGTTTTGCAGCGTTTTTTTAATAGAAAATTTCATTTCTTCTTTTATAGAAAATTTTTTTTTGTAAAAAGTTTGCCCGATGAGGGTAAAATGACACTATACGTGTCATTTTATTAAAATCATTGGACATTTATTTTAACTATACCGCTCAAATGAAAAAAAACTTAAATTTGAACATGTCATTCAAATGTTATAATGATATCAAGTAATTGTAACAGTATATATGACAATTTTGCTTATTTAAAATCTGTTTAATAAGAAATGTGCATCGGTATTTAATCGCTGAACAAAATTATTTTTTGACAGGCAGTAGATTCAAAATTAGAAAATAATAATTAAAATTGAATCTTTGTGTCATTCACCCCCCTTTTAATTATTTTGAAGCGTAAATCTTTTTGCAGCTGTCAAATTTTTTAAAGTGCATCTTTGAATCCTAACTATATTTATAATTTAAGGATGATTTTCGACTGAAGATAAATTATTGCATAACAACATTGGTGTCTTAATATCAATTTGATATCAAAAACTTAAGTGGGGGATTGGAGTCATGCGATTTCGTTTAGCCAAATTTCAATAACTTAACATTACTCTTGTTATATAAGTTTTGATCATGCATTAATTTAACGTCAAAGTGGTTTCAAATTTAGTACATTTAATTGATGTTTTGGCTGGTGTTAGACATTTTTGTTTTCTTTTAACAACAAAAACGAGCTTTATGGGTGTTTTTTTTTTTTATATTTTAAATGAGATAATTTGTGTCACTTATTAAGCTTTACAGACAGCCCCAAATATAAAAACTTCCATACAACATTCCAAGAACAATATTTTTGACAGATTGCTAATACATTTCTAATTAAAACGGGAAGTCTTTTCTGGAAATAATAATTTACTAACTTGAAATTTATGATTTGACAAATAAATCTTTAAAATTTGAATCCAAATTTTAAATGACACATTTTAATTTTGACTCATTTGTGTTTTGAAATTTTCACATACAAAATATGAAAATTTAACTGCAATAAATTCACAATTTTAGAACTCTGAAGAAAATATTCACAATATGGAAAAATATTATTCACAATATATCAATTTAAAAAGATTTCTGTATATTTTTTAATGAATTTCGATTATATAATTTCAAATTTAAAAATTGACTTTTGAGCGTTAAAGTTTTATGTTGAATTTGTCAAAAACAGAAAAGATATATGTAAAAGTCCCAGTTATCATCTTTAATTAAATAAAGGTTTTTTTAATAAGTCTTCTGAGATGTTACTACTCAAATAAGAATAACAAATTGGTATTCAATTTGGATACACAATAAGTATAATAAAGAATCAATTTGGCTTCGAAGTTAAGCAGATTTTTGAGATAGAATCTATGTAAAAATTTCTCTTATTTTCTTATTCTAAAAAAAAAGAAAGCAAAAGGAAAGAAGGATGAAGTTCATTCAAATTTACTCATTTTTAATTGATTAAACTTTAATGTACGCACCTAATAGCATTAAATCTTTCCCATATTTTGTTAGGCGCAACATTTGAGGAAATGGAAGCATCGAATTTTATCGCAAATTATTTCTATTAGTTATTAATAGAATATTAAAAAGGAAAACAAAAACTAGTATTTTATTTAATATGTATGTATATATACTATATTTTTTTTTAATTTTCAATCAATATAACAATACAGATTTGATTAGATTTTTTTTTTGATTTTTAATTCACAATTTTCTTAACTTTATTATCCTTCATTAAAAAATTTATGTTGGAAACTTATTTCCCCATTAAAAAACATTTAATTTTAATTTCAATTATCTTTTTTTTTTCTTTCCTAATTCGTAGTACAGTAAAATTATGCTAATATAAGATATTATTTTAAATACGAACAATATAAAAAGAAAAACAATTTAAAAGTCCTCCTCGTCTAAGACAATAGTTTTAGAATTCAATTTCAGAATAAAACTACATATAGTTCCAAAATTTGGCAATCATTTTTTTGCTTGTATATACATATAATTAAATGAAATAATTTTGTTTTTTACAAATGAACACATTTATTTTTTTTTTTCATTTCATAAATATAAAATAAAAATATAACAAAATTTTGAAATTCATTTTGTACAAAATTAACGATTTCATGAAATGCGAATTCGCATAATGCAAGCAAATTTTCTAGAATTTAAAACTATTACATTATACGAGGATCACCTTATGATAAATTGAAAAGTTAAAATACAAGAGCTTAAATTAAACATAATTAATTATTTAAAAATAAAAATTTATACATTTTTTTTTCTTGATTTTATTTTTCTGCATTATTATTTTTTTATTTTTTTTTTTGTTATTTATATTTTATTTATATTAATGTGTATAGTTTTTAAATTTATCGCGATATAATTTCGATTAATATACAAACATGCTATGCGAATAAAAGCCAACCAATTAAGATAACAGCTAAATACACGAAAATTTTTGATAAATTCTGCTCATCATTATATTCCATTGAAGCACCACGTTGACCTACAATGTTAAAAAAACATTTATTAATTGTAATTATTGGTAAATGTTTAATTTTTTTAATAAATTTTATATGTATTTTATGTTATAAATCATACTTGTCGGTCTTTGATCACCAATATTGAAAGAAGATGCAAAATAACCAAATGGAAATGCTCCAATACCAAAAGACATGTGAAAACCCCCATCACCAAATCCAAATCCTTGAAAACCAGGAGCTGGTTCCGGTTCTGATCTTTGACCAGCTGGTCTAGGTGGAACTTTATTTCTAATAAAATAATAATTAACAAATTAATAATTATTTTTCTTTGTTAAATAAAATTTAATTAAAAAAAAATTTTAAATTGATTTTTTTCTAATAATAAACTAGCTAAAATGATAATTTAACTAAATTCTAACTAAAAAATTGAAGTTTACTGGACATGAAATGAGAAATTTTAATTGTTTTTAGACAAAAATATTTAACATTATATTGCATTATATATATAAAAATTAAATTTTTCAATTAGAAAAAAAAAATATTTTATACCTTGGATCCTCTTGTTTCGTACTATTTCTACCATATAATGGTATTACTTTTTCTTTACTAATTGCCGCTTTACATACTGGGCATAATTTTCTTGATGGTCGTGTTTCCAACCATTGATGTAAACAAGGCCAACAAAATAAATGTCCGCACATACTAACAACAGCATCTTTAGCTGTATCTAAACAAATATTACATTCAAACATTGAATCATCTTTTTTTTCACCACCATCTCCACCATCTTTTTTATTATCACCATTTAATGGATCAGTACTATTATTATTATTATTATTGTAATTATTATTATTATTATTATTTGTGTTACTATTAAAACTTGTACCAGGTGTACTACTAGTCGACATATTTATTGATTCGCCGTTATTATTATTATTTAAAATTGGTGTTTTTGGTGATGTACCATATACTGTTGATGTTCCAGTTGATTGTATTGTTGGTGTTAATGTTGCTGTTGAGCTAACGTTATTATTACTATTATTGAATGATGAATTTAATTCGATTGTATTATTATCGTTATTATTATTATTATTAGAAGATGATGTTGATGATAAAGGTATACCAGTTCCAGAAAATGATGTTTCTAATGATGACATTTTTTTAAAAGCTTGATCTAAAAATATAAATAAAAAAAAAGAAAATCTAATTAATATTTTATTTTTTTATTTAATAAAATTTATATTAAATATATTTGACATTTTCTGTGTAATTGATTTAATAAATTAGCAAATAATTGTATGTTATCATTTAAAATTTTGATTTTTAAGTTTTTTTAACAGGTAGTTAAGGGCCGATTAATAATTATTGAAAAATTATCACGTACATATAATTAAAAATTAAAATAATATAATGTTTGTCCGAATAATCGAATAATTTTGTGTTTGTCCGAGAGGAAAATAGTGAAAGGAAAATTTGTAATTATTATAAAAAAAAAGTTTATTGCAAATAGTTCAGTGCGTCCATAAAAATTCCTATAGATTATAAAATAAAGAAGAGCGTGACTTATAATTTAGGGTCATACTGCAAAATTTTACAATAAGTAGCATGTGTACTCTGTTATAGTAAGGCGATATTAAACGAAAGAAACTGTTTTTATCAAAATCGAACTGTTTTTATGAAAAATATTTAAACACTAGTGGGCCCCATAAAATTATTACACAGTTTGTGTAAGGCATAGAACGAGTTTTCAATTTATTATTTACGGAATTTATTTATTGGGTTATTGTAAAAGAAATTTCTTAAAACCACAGCGTTTATTTTTTCCACTACTTTAAAGTTCATTTTTGTTGAATGAATGAAATGTAAATTAATTTTTTCACCTCTGTTATATTTGAAAAAAAGAAATGGAAAAATTCTCTTTCTTTATTTCAACATTTTATATTTTCAACATATTATTGTATGCACCTTCTATTTAATAAATAGTTTTATTGATTTTTCTATAATCTGCTTCTATTTTTTTCTAAATCTAAGTTTATATTTCTTTCTATATTGCATGCAAAATAATTATTTTAAGAATAGTTATTTTTGTATTTAAAAATAGTTGTATTTCTAATTAATTACATATATAATAGCTGATAATTAATTTTTAATAATTGTAGTTTGTGTTAATTATTACATATTAACTAATAATTATTTTTGATATAAGTCAATTAATAATGATTAACAGATTAATAATTGTAATATAAACCGGTCGAAATTGAGAATATTTTTTGGGTTTTATGCACTAATTGTAAGAATTATGAAACAAAATTTTAATTTAATATCAAAATTTTTCGGTGATTATAAATTTTCTAAAACACATAGTGACATTTTAATGCTCCTGTCTGACCTGGGCTGGCTTTTATTCTATCAAAAATTATTCCCAGTAAGTACTACTTTTTTCCATTAAAAATTTATTTCTTCAACACAATTGTTTAATAATTTTTAATAATTATTTTATTATTTGCTAATTTTTATGATTTAAAATGCAGTAAGGCAAAATTAATTCACAAAAAAAAAGGAAAAATCTCAATTTACCGTTGCATTTTGCCACATTTAAATAAATTATTATAATTTTAATAATAGAAAGAGAGAGAGACAGAAAACTATTCTACATTTCAATTTAAAATCTAAATTCAAACTAAATTAGAACTTTTAAATATTTTTAAATAATAGTCATACAAATTTTACGTTCCAATATTTAATTATACATTTTTTTCTAATTTTTTCTTTTTTTCTTTAATTCCTAAAATGAATGCAACACAAAGCAAAAAAAAATCTTAAAGCAATTTTTAAATCGGATTAAATAAAAAAAAAAAAAACAAATCTATATTTTAAAAAAATTCTAAAAGACCAAAAAAAAAAGTAAAAGCTGTTTTTTAAAGAATATTAAAATATTTGTAATAGTAAAAGCACAAAACAAAAAAATAGAAAAAATAGAACGTTAAAAAACTAACGTAATTGTGACGCGAAAATGCACTTTTTCGTTTTTTATTTGTTTGCTGACATAACGATTTTATATTACAACATAAAATGAAGCAATGAACGGCAGGTAATTGCTACTAACATCCTTACTTCACTTCACTATTATTACATTTATACTAATAATTTATTATTGTTCTTTAGCAGTAATTATTACTAAATACTAGCTTGAAAACAATAAACAAAAAGAGCAGACGAAAGATAGAATTACAGAGAGAAAGAGAGAGGAAGAGAAATATAAAAAAAATGTAAATGTAAATAACACGGAGCATTAAAATTAAAACAAAAAATCGATCGAAATAAAAAATCGCTGACGTGGTCATTTATTTTATATTTATCATGTGTCTTCTGTTTGTCGTCATGCATGCTAGAGCAATAATTTTAATAAAATTAAAAATTATCATGTAAATTCTCTTCTTTATTTTATTTTCAATTTTATTGAAAAATTTTGAAAATCTGTGTGATATGAAACTCTTTATATTGACATATTCGAAACGTGAATGTTTTTTTTTTTTTTAAATACAATTCCTAAAAATAGCACTGGCACAGTAACTTTTAAATCTTCATGTAAAATCTTTTCAGTTGTCTCAAAATGTAGATCTTATTTCAGTTTGACATATTCAGATTTAAGAAATTAAAATTATTTCACTGAATAAGCCAAAATTGTATTGTTAAATAAGTCAAAGTGGCATTCCACCTGCCAATTTGACAGAAGTTTCAACATTCATTATTTCGATACACTTAAAATTAATCGAAATTGAACATTTTGCATATTTCATAGAGCTTGGAATATAAAAATTATGAATTTGATTGTAAATCTCATCTTTTTATTTTATTCACTTACTCACTAAGTGAATAAAAAGTGAGTGAATATAATGTTTCAGGCTGTATACGACCATAACATTTTACGATTACATTTGACAAAATGATGTTTTACGATAACATATGATATTTTACCAATAAATCAATAAAATTTTTATTTTTTAAATCAAATCAAAACTAATTTTCAAATTGTATTAAATTAGATTAACTATATTATAATTATGTTAATTTTATTAATTGTAAAATAATTAACAAAATAGATCAACAAAACACAAACATGTTTATATGAATGTATAACACAGCTCTGTTAAGCAATATCTAATATGTATAACAATTATAATAAACACTATAATATTAATACATATTGTTTCGTGAATCATAATATAGTGAATGCAGTTGAAAAAAGCATTGTGAATAGACATGTTATTATCAGGTATATTAGGTTTAAAGTACAATAAAAAATGATTTTTGATTTAAAATTTTGATTGACCTTGAGTAATTTTTTTGAAAAAAAAAAAACGTGTAATTTCAAATTTATTTATAACATAAATTTTTGTATACACACACATGCAAGCTTAATAATAGTAAAAATCTGCATTACTTTTGAATGTTATTCAAATACAAATGTATAAATGTATGTGTATAATCACGTATTCATAGTTTTATTACAACTATGCATATATGTATGTTTTTTACCGTTTTGCACACATAGTCAATAATAAATGTTAATGCGATTTGATATGGCCAAAAATTTGTTCGGTATTTTTTATTTTTAGTATTGGGAAAAATTTATTACAAGCTATTTTAATTTTTTTTTACATATATATGTATGTATGCCTTAATAAAAAATTTTTTACAAAACAATATATGTATAAAATCCAATATTCTTATGAATTTTAAGTTCCAGTAGTAGTCTTGTCTGAGAATATTTTAAATTAACCTACCTACACATATTTCAAAAACTGACTGAGGTAGATATTCAAAAAACTGACGACTTAATTTATTTAAACTTAGTAACATCATCTTTTATTTTATACAACATTGCCGAAGTGCGGCAATAATGTTCATGCAAGTGTGAAATACGCTATCAAATTACTATGATTTTGTGACGTTAATTAAAATGTCATTAAAATTGCATGATTTTTTATGACATTTTTGTTTGCATATATCAAACAATACACAAAGAAAAACAAAAAAAAAACTATTGTCGCAATTTTGTCATCAATCACAGGCTTACTTTAAAATGTGATAAGATAAAGTTGTTTGGACATTTCGTGAATTTATGAGTATAATAATTTGACATTCGCATGACAGTTACTTTCAGAATCTAATTAAATTTTAAAATATTCAAATTTACTTTATTCGAAGAGAACATTATTTTAATGTCAATATCTTTTCGTTCTTCGTTCCTAGGAGGAGTATAGGGCTAATATATGATATCATAGATAGTCATGTCCCAGTTTCATTGTGTCATAGAGTTTTAACTTGTTAAGTGACTAGCCTAACAAATTAAGTACATTAGACGTTTGCCTCTAGAAAAACCTGTTTAATATACATATCAAGTATGTATAAATGTAAAATTTTATTATATCAATAGATCATTCAACCAAAAAAAATATTTCCGATAATTTTGAGTTCGACCTTATAAATTATAATTAATTCTTAAGCGATTAATTTAATTTTTATTAAATGGAAAATATTTAATAAAAAAATATTTGTTAAGTAAAGTTTTCTAATTTTTTTATGGTTTTTTTGCTTATTATTTAAATAAATTTTACGGAAAGGAAGTTCACTTATTTCAAATGCAAAAACAAATAGTATGTACAAATAAGTAAAAAAAAAATTAAATAAAGAAATCTGATCAAAAATTAAACTAAAACAAAAAAAAATGCAAAAGAAATCGAAATCAAACAAAATAAGAGAAGAGAAAAATAAATGGTCAAGGTCAACATTAACTGTTGTGATGGTAGTAGTAGTAGTTGTTGTAGTAGATATGACGATATACGTTAATGCGATCTCCACACCAGTAAACACAATTATATTTTCTTTCCGGCTAAATAATTTTTGCTTCTTTTTTTTTTTACATACTTTTTCATTTTCAAACTTTTTTTTACTTTTATTGTGTTGTGTTAAGTCAAGTTTTAAAATTTTCTTTTTTTTTTTTTTGTTGAATTGAAATGCGGCAAAAGCAGAATAAAAAAAACCAAACGCACATTTTTAGTTATGCGGTCAAAAACATAACAAATATTATTTAATTTTTCTGTTTTCATTTTTTTTTTTAAAATACTTTTAAAAAATTATTTAACCTTCAAAAACGTTAAAAAACAGTTA